TTTTCTTCCGTTGCTCAACGAGAATCTCTCGCATCGATCGGGCAGCTGGAACGGAGGAAGATGCAAAGTTTGCCTAGATCGATCGATCGTTCGAGATGAATGACTCCTTCGAATAGGTTTAGTAGGCGGTAGTAGGGTTAGGATTTCAGGGGATTTTTAGTGAGACCTTTTTGGGGTGAGTTTGGGAGAGTGGAGATTTTAGGGGTGAGCGTTTGTTGGCTCGATTTTAGCGGTGTATTGATAGGGGTAGTGGGTGAATTTCTGGGTGGAATATTGGTTTGAATAGGGGTGTAATTGTGTTATCGTTAGGTAATGGGTGAGAAGGTATCGGTAGATGATAAGGAAGGCTACTTAGAAGTTTGTTGGTAGGGGAAGACTGGTTAACTCGTTCTTGGTTAACTGATATATAGAACACGGTAATTTCTTTATCTAGAGACTGTTCATTATTAATTTCACTCTTATGCTTGTATTAGGTACAAAATATATCATATTTGCATTTTTACAAGTTTTAGTCATTTTTAAGTACAAACCGCAGAGATTGAATTTTTATTTCATAGGTGAGCCTGATTAAAGTGGAGTTGTAGTGGAGGTGGGTGTGAAATTGAAGGTATAATAAAGAACGACGAGTTAAAGAAGTATGTCTTTCTTTATTCTCAGGTAATCTTGTCGTAGATCGTTATTTACAACGTATTGACATGTTTGATTACATCGCGATATTTCAGTCGTTAATAATCATTAAAAAGTTCCCACGTAGACGTAGAGAGCTCCACATTTTGATATAAACTTTTAAACATCGTCAACTTACGTAATACTCTTATAATATCTCAAACATTACGTTTAATGAGTTAAATTATTTTATGCACAAGAGATGTGTGGTCACTCGACGTATGAAAAGAAGGCAATCGTAACGTTTCATGATAATGTAGTAATTTGTGCAGTCGGTTCCCGTTCTTTTTTGTCGATGACTCAACGAACACGTTTTCCCCTTTGTTTTTTTCTGCTTTTTTTTTCTTTGCAAATTACCTATCTAAGAGAGGAAACTGTTGATTTAAGACGATATATATCCAGCCACCCTTACAAAGTTGGAAAAATATAGGTTGGAAAAATATTTCACCAGTCTCCCAGCACGTTCGCGCGTAACGAATGATTGGATTCTCACGTGATTGAAATTTGGGGGAATTTCGATCGAGCGTGGTACGCGCGAAACTCGCCACAGTTCCTAATTAATGCGCTCTAAATTCGCGTGTGTCGAAGTTATCCGCGTTCGAAACTTGGAATTAACGATTAAATGTCGAATGTAAAAGGTACACACGCATTCAACATTCTAGTTTTATCTATTTACGTATCAACATACGAGTGAGAGTGTGGAATTCTAAAAATTGAAATCGTACGTTATCGAGAATGTTCTTTTCTAAATACAATCATCATCCATTTTCTTTCTCTCTCTCTCTCTCTCTCTCTCTCTCTCTCTCTCTCTCTCTCTCTCTCGCTCTGTCTGCGTGTAGAAATTGGAGACTACGATTATCGAAGACGTTTCAGGAATAGAAATGTTTCCTTTGGTTAAATTTCGATCGATTTTGGTCATTTAGCCGTATACGTTAAAACGACACGAGTTCGACGAGTTTCATTTTACTTCTTCTTCGCTTCTTCCTCGACCGCCTCGTTCTGTTTGCGGAAGCAATCACCGACCGGGAAGAAGTCCCAACACCTTTGCTGGTACATGTTCCATACGTAGGTTTCTTGACCGGTGTACTCGGTGTCTGGTTTGTTGATTAAGTGCATGAGGAAGAACCTGAAAGATCGGGATTGCGGTGGTTAGTTTGTTTTGGTGGTGTATGTCTGAGGGAGAAGGGTTTTTGAGGTTCTAAAAGGTGGGAAGTCTGTTTTAACGTATATTTGATGTGATGGTGCACGCTTTTTGACGAGTTGAAAGCTCTACGAATTTAAATATTTGGGAATTTTTATATTTAAATATTTGAGAATTTGAAAATTTATATATTTGAGAATTTAGAT